GTTCCGACCAAGAAGAAACCAATCGGCACTGGTACACCTCAATAACAATCTGGCCTCCACTAACCCTGAGACAAAATTGTCACCAAACCCGAAATTGGCAGGACTTCGCGTTTATCAGCATACACACGGTGGCCTGTGCAGGCTTCGTCTGGCAAGTATTGCCTAACATTGAACACAGTGCGCACGGTTCGAGTCCTGTAGTTAGCGGATTCATCCCAGTCGAAGCGAAAAACTGTTGGCAACCATGTGAAAATTGTTCTGCGCCGTTGCAGACAACTGCACACGTGGCTTAGCAGTGCACAATACTGAGGACGAAAGAGGCTGAATATAAGGACAAACCTGAAACAACGTATCCTTAGATTGGGAGCAGCTATTCGGCATTTTGTTCGCTCCGAACAACTGATTTGGTCTGGCTGCCGTAGGAACTGGCTTGCGGAAGCGCAGCTGGCCAACCGGCGGTTCAGCGTACCGGATGCCTGCGTTGAGGGAAAGTTGGACCAAACAAGGTTACATTGCTAGTACTTGTGGTTGGCATTTGGCATGATAATTGGTATAAAAGCAAAAAATTAATATAAACCCTTAAAAAAATAAGAATTGCTGTACTTACTTCCATTTCAAGTGAAAGTGTTTGGTGAAGAGTTTTCTTGACTCGTTTACTTGAATTTGGTTGTGACGATGATACCATCTTCTGATGATGTTCGTCATATGACGGACGAAAGTTTAACACCTTTTCACCGGAATCGAAGGAGATTACCTCGGAAACAGCGTCAACAAGAATGTTCCAGTAAAGCCAATCGACAGCTGATCAGTAGTCCTTCGAATCGCTTCACTAAACACATTCACTCGAAATGGCAGTAAGTACAACAATTATGAAACAAGAGATTCCTCTAAACCCACATTTTACTCACATGAGGAAATCAGTTTATATGCATTGGAAGAAGAAGTAAACTAGGCGAGGCTGCCGGAACCAGATCAGTTGAAGCGGCTCTGAAATGCATACGTTTCTAGCCGCTGCCCTGAGCTAAGGTCTTCACCCGAACCATACTTTCACCTGCCCATCCTATAGACTCGGGAACTCGGGGATGTGCTCGTCCCTGGGGCTAGAAGAGGCTCCACAAGTCATCTGCCTCGGGGCCGGATGGTTGGGCGAATATCGATTCCGCTTCGCGACAGCCCTGGGCCTGACCGACTGAGTCGTCAAGGGACAAGCAATAGATCTTCACACGAAGCCGACGGCGGACGATTCTCATAGTCAATCGTGAGGGAATATCGACATGCAGAGCACAAATTTGGAGGGTTTCCGCAAATACTAGTCTCCATAGTTTGCGTCAAGAGACCATCGGTACACTTAAAAAAACCGTCCGTGCCCGTGAAGTTGGACGTATCGTGAAGTTTGCCCTTTTTTCAACTTCACCCATTTGTCTCGGTAGTGACTGGTCTAGTCGGCAATATTGCCGCCTCCGGACGGCTTGGTGAAAGTAAGCTTGCCTCTGCTACAGATTTCGATCGGACAGAAGCATACGGTAGGTCAATTGTTGCCCAATGGCGAGGGTGTGACAAAAACCAGCCACTTATACTCAATCGGACAGACACAGCGATAGGTTGAGGAACAGATACAAAGGCCTGGCTGCGAAGTAATGATAGATCATCTGTTCCATGGGCACTTGACTAGAAATACTTTTGGCTAAAATGGCAAATGGTAGACTGTTGACTGAAGCCGCAAAGATTAGCCCAACCTGAAGCTGGCTAACATACAGCGCATATTTGCCCAGTCCGGATGCGCCACAATCGCGAAACGAGGTGATGAAGAAGGCGGGGAACAAAGTAGAAGAAAGACAGTATTCTCTAAAAAAAGGGAGAAACTGTCTTCAGGCTTGGAAACGCGAGAGGCGACACTGCATTGGCTTGCCGCGGGCCACTGATTGGAAGTACCAGCGCAAACTTTGTAGGACGGTTAGAGGGGAAATTGTGGTCACAAACAAATCCTGTCACAATGCTTTGATTAATTTGGCATTGTGTAGTAGTATATAAGTAGTAGAGTGCAAGTAGAATTGTGTAATGTGGTGAGTAGCTCAATGGTATGTAATAATTGAGGTCTTAAAAAGCGAATTGTTGTGCCTTAATAATTTAATGATATTTTATGCATTTGTTTGTGCATTACTATTTAATGTACTGGCATTCGATTCATTATAAAGGTTGTAATGTGCATTATTCAGAATGGAGTATATAGTGCGCACTCTAATGAGGTAACCTCAACTATTCTTAAAATATAAAACCTACATACAGTACATCTTCTCGCCATCTCTTCTTTAGCAGATAAGTGGTATAGTAGTAGATTGCGATTGAGCTTTTAATGGGTTGTAAGCTTCGCGATGTGAATTTTGTGAAATTATGTCGGGTAAGTGAACATAAGCGTTGGCTATTTTATATGCGAAGAAAATTTGGGTTTCGAGGAATCTCTTGTTTCATAATTGTGAGCTTACTTCCATTTCGAGTGAAAGTGTTGGGTGAAGAGATTCGAAGGTCTGTTCCACCAGAAGACGACGGCTGATTCCGCTTGACTAGCTGTCGATTGGCTTTACTGGAAGATTCATGCTGACGCTGTTTCAGAGGCAATATCCTTCGACTCCGGTGTCATATGACGAACATTATCAGAGCAAGGTATCATCGTCACAACCAAATGAAAGTTAACGAAGATATGAAGACCAAGATGATGTGGTCTTTTGTGTGGTCGCGGTCTCCTTTCGTTGTATAGAAGTTGTTTGACCTTGTTTTCGCAACTC